ATATATATATATAAATAGATAGATAGATAATGAAAACCCCTAGAAAGCAATAGAGCTGTTTCGCCCTTGTTAGTAATCAGCAATAATGCATATCAACCGATCCATTGTGATTTGCATAAGGGCAAAGAGGATGGTTAATCCAGCGAGTCAAGAAAACAAAAGCTATGTACGGAAAACCGGGGAAAACACAGTCTATGTAACGTTTTAATTCTAATTCCTTTTAAGTAAAGTCTGAAGTGATGTAACTCAGGTCAACCTTTAGCTCGGATAGGCGTGAGCGCAACATCATCCCTGGATGATGGAGCCGATTGAATATACATTGCTATGAAATAGATTTACGAAGAATCCGAATAGTACTGTGGCATTTTAGATTTGAACCACCAAGCTGTTGTCGGGAGGAGAAATTCTGATAGCTGAAACTAGGTTGTTTTACACGGTTATCAGTCGTCAGCCATTCTAGTTTTATTATGCGTTCGGACTGATTTGTGAACCCGTGGCCGGCTGGTGTTCATTAAGGGTGGTTTGACAGAGACTGTGCCTTTGGAAATCCCAATTCCTATTCGGATGAAAGCACACCATGCTTGTTGGTACATGTCTTTATGCTGGATTTGCACCATCCCCGCCTAAAACACTATCAAATACCTATTAAACTGCATTTTGATCAATCGGAAGATAAGATCATGGTTTATGTCGAAAATTAAGTGGTGTGTTGACATGATTGAAGGAGAAATATGGACAAGCGGCCTGGTCAAGCTACGTAGACTAGCTCGTGTCTTCAACGAGCGCATTCGATCAGATGGATTTACACATGTTCAACATTACCATTACCAGCTGAAGGTAAAAAAACACCGGAAGTGTTTCACAATTGGTGTCTACAGTGAACGGTACGGTTTAATTAGTGTGACCGGATTAGAAAAATGGTGCTGGATAATGAGAAACTGTATGTAGTGATCAAACGTCATAGCCTATCATGATATGGTCACATCCAGGGGCACCAAACTGCAAAACTACGAAAACAAACGTTCAAACTCTCAAGTCAAGACAGGAAAACACTGAACTGAAACAAGCAACACCCAGTTCTACGGAGTTTATTTATGAAACTGTGACTAGATCACCAGTCTTGAGGTCAACCGACATTCACGAAAATCTGATATTAGCTTTTACTCACCAGCCAATATGATCAAGTCAGCCACACGAAGAGCCGCACGTCGAGCATGACGAAACGCACAGGGATGTTGTCGACCGAGTAAGCCACGTGCCATACCGGTGAGATAAACTGGTACACGAAGTGACTGAAATGACAAAAACAGATCAAGTATACAACTATGAGCGAGAATATACCAACAGTCTAGAGGTAAGCTAAAAGCACCTTCGATATCCAATAAAAAGAAGTTTAGCGACCAGTTGACGGGCGGGGGGGGATGTGGAGAGAAATGGCTGTGTGATCGCAACAAGCTAACCAAGCAGCTGGATCAATATAAATGAAAAACACTTGGATGACTTTGCACCATTTTGTGCACTCTGGAATAAGAAGTGTGCGGTCATGTTTACATCGGTTTCTGTTTCCGCCTGGGTGGATGAAGTAAATTTTAAGCACATAAGTGTACACTTTATACCGCAAACAGATGGACTAAACGGACACCACACGAGAAAGAAGTGCACTAAAAGTAAGCAGTTATTGTTGTTGCAGAAGCCTGACAGCTTTCAACATAACGGGTTCAGAATTTTAAACCAGTGTACTGTATGTCATACAGTCTGATTATCAGATAAATTGTGACGCTGCATAAACTAATCTCAGATTACCGTCCATGATCTGCAGACGGTATTTTAGCCGATAAAAAAGCCCAGATCGTCCCAACCAAGTATACATCCGAACAGAGCCTTGAGAATCGGGGAAATCAGAAGATATAACTGCGATAAATAGCTCTGGATCTAGTGATTTTTATTTTAGTTTCGACGAATGAGGCATTCGCTTCCGTTTACGAGGGGACTGAAATGGTGTATATACACAACTGCATAAGAGCTCCCGTTGGCGTGCTGGGATGTAGTTTACTGTTGCCGAGGCGGATCGTGGCTGAAGTGATGATTAGTCAATTTGGGCTGATGAAAACTAGTATTCTTACGACAAACAAAACGTACAATTTGATGGACTGCATACAGCTGTTTTCCAGATGTAAAAGGACGAGTATCTGATGACTGATGATGGCCAACGTTAGAATCACATTGAAAAGGAGGGGAGTTAGCTGACTAGCTTACCACTGGCAGTGAAGTCAGACAAAAATAGATCACACTAGAATATGAATCCGCAGAACTGAGTGGCCGTTACAGTTCGTAGAAAAGAGGATCAAGTTGTTTCTCAGAGAACATCTTGGCCTGTTCCGATAAACGGTTACCGATTAATCAGCCAGAGCATGTGATGGAGAGGATTTCCACGAGCGAAACAGGCTGCACGCCTAGACACTTTATGTGTTCAACGCAGCATGATGGTACAATTAACAATTTGTGTCATCGCAGGATATGACCACACGGGATCACATTCTGTTTGAATCGTGTCCATGTTTCCACTCAACTGATTCGGTCTTGTTTTGACTCTGATTGAATCTTAGTACAATCAAAAAACTCATCTAGTTTACTACAGCAAACGATCAGGAATTAAATGACCATATGCTATTTTCAAAATCGAACACACTGGAACGGAGATTCGATTGCATTGTTGGTCGAAAAATAAGAACCTCACTCCGCCAGGACGAATCATGCACAAGTCAATTGAACCGTTTAGATCTGTGCTGACAATGCTCCAAATACACTGTGATATAATCGCATAACTTGATTCTCTTGGCACTCAGCCTTTGTTCACATTTGTTGCATATCGCTCTCTCTAAGCGACCTTCTATGTCGAACAGAAGGCCACGACGAAGGACATTTTGATATCTGTTACATCAAAGAAGTGGACTATTTTATTTTATAAGATGAATTTCGTTACGTACAGAGCAAACAGAGCGAACTGAAAAGCTAGGAAGCACTGCAGAGCTGTTTCCATTTGATTCTCTCATCAGTAGTAGGAATCCATCCATTGCGGATCGTAATCGGGGAACTCGCCGGTAGTTTATTACTCACTTGACTACCGGAAGCTGATCAAGCCGTTTTTCATGTTGTCTATTAACGATACAGCACAAGCCATCTTTGTAAGCTTGTTGCACACATCACTACTTAATCACTCCAGTATTGGCCTCCAGATTTGAATTAAATTGAAGCATTTCAACCTGATGAAACAGTGTATCTTAGCTTTTCGGTCCATGCTTAATTTGTTCTGTGGGCGATGAAAACCACCGTGCGTTTCGATACATGTAGAAAATTACTTAAAAATCCATCAGGCTTAAAACAATAATTTACTCCTCGCGGTATAGAACAGACACTATGACGAATGTTGAACGAATGGTGTCTAAATGCACAACAGCCGTTAAGGATTTCTGATGTGACCAACTGACGTCAAAACGCGAGCCGCCAGTGGAGCATGCATCCTTGGGACCGGTTTGTAAGAGAATGGTTTGATATTCTGTAGAGCGATAAATTAAGATTCGGGGTATGAAGTACAGATGGAAAAAGGTGGGTTGCCCATTGAAGGAACAGAGGGATAGAATAGGAGAGTGAGTGCAGCGAAATTTAAAGGTGTCGGAGACTCTGTTACTATGTGGATGGCTGTTTGTTCTGATGGAAACGTGAGTGGTTTGAAGTATCCGTAGGAGATCGGTGATTATTTGAAACCACAATTGCAGAGCAAAAATTAGTCTTCATGCAGCAGAACAACAATAACGCTGAAACCTTCGTTTGTCGCTCCACAGGATATTATCCCATTGTGTCACACGCCAATGACAAAGATGCCTAGAATCATACAGCGAAATACAGTGAGGCGAACTTCGCTGATCGCTGCCAAACTCACAAGGCATACAAGGTTAGTGGCAATATTTAAGATGGACAGGGATTGCACCTATTTTGAGGGAAGGAGGAGAAGGTGAACCTCCATAGTCAACACACAGAGTACAAAATCGAACTCTGCATACATACCGTTTCAAGCATTCTGGCCTGAGAAGTGACAACAAGAACGCCACTGTTGGCGGTTCGCTTCCATATTCTTCAATGTCTCTAATCAGCCAGTTTCAGAGTCTTTCGGACTTCAACCTGGAAGACGTGAGACAATTAACCTACCTAATGGCTCTGTGCACTTCTTCATGCCTTGTCTCCAATTCATCTGTTGACCACCACATGGCTTCCTCCAGCCCGGAGCGGTTACAGTGAATAAGGTGAGTGGCGGCAGACGACGGCTGGGTATACGCAACCAGCGAAGTCTACTCATCTGAATTCGGTGTGCCAGCAGGTTTATCCTTTCAGACTCCCAAACACACGACGGCTTACCTTCAGGTTACTGACTCGTTAGCTCCATCCCACGTGGGCTAAACTATGTAAACACTGATAATCGAAAACTCCTAGTCAATGGATATCTACTCCAAAACTCAACGTCTCACGACCATAAAGCAAAACTGAACGAATGGTGGCGCAATATACATGATCTTTTAACTTCAATGAAACACCGTGTCTACGAAAAAGGTGTTTCAGTCCTGCGTACGCTGCTCGAGCCTTGAAAATGAGGGTGGTTATCTCCTTTGCTGCGCTACTGTCATTTGCCGTACAACTACTCACGTAGGAAAAGTCATCCACTATAAATATTTCCTGTCCATTTAGTTTCACAGTTGGAGTAGATGACATCCAATCCTGCAGCATCACTTTGCACTTTGAAGGTGTAAAACACATACCGAATGTGGCAACAACGCTTGCACTTTGCGCGTCCTCCGTACATTCGAACAGACAGACGATGCAATCGGCGTACTCCAAATCGCAGTTTTTCTCCAGCCAGCTGCCCATTCAATACCTACGTTTTGGAGATCACCAAGTGCGTCCTCCAGTATTTCGTCTATTACGAAATTGAACAGGAATGGCGAAAGGGGGCACCCTTGACGAACGCCACTGCTGGAGGCGAACTTCTTACTTAGTTCATTATAGACCCTTACACGACGAAAGTATACTGACGTCAGTAGGTTAACGTACTTCTGGGTCATTACTTTTCGAAGAAGGGAACCCGTCAGAGCTTCGCGGTCGACTGAGTCGAAGGCTCATTTCAGGTCAAGGAAAACTGCGATCCTTAGTCAACAATGAGTGTGGGGTAGCTGAAGAACCTGACGCAACGTAAAATTTGATTGATACATCCATGGCCAGGTCGAAATCCGGCGTGTTGTTCGCGGATGTTGGTCTCTCTTGAAGGCGTCAGACGTATGATTGAGGTGACAACCGGGATCAAACTTATCCCGCGGTGTTTTTCGCAATCGTTGCGGGGTCCAATTTTGAAAATGGGAACGATCAGAGATGAAGGAATGCTCTCTTGCGTCAAAATGTTGGGCAGTAAAGTATTAACAGAGCTTACAAGGTTATCACCCCCATCTTGAAAAGAATGGGCGAGAGCTCATTCGGTCCTGCTGCATTTCCTCGTTTCAGAGCTTGGAAGAAAGACCGAACCTCTGCTTCCGCTGGAGGATACCACGA